CACATTTTAGATTAATATTCAAATAATCTTAAACCTAGTCTTCACTCATGTTTAAATTGATTATCAAGGTTTTTCACTACAAAAGAAAAAAATAGTAATACTAAGAGATAGAAATTGAAATGTGAACGTATCAATTGTCCAAAGTAAAAATAACACGCGAAGATTTTATTCTACGCGTTGTACAAATCAAATCCCGTATGCGACCGGCTGTAACCGGTAATAACGGTTTCCCTTCTTCCTTTATTCGTATTCATTTTTGAACCCCTTTCCCCTTCTTCTGCAACTTTTTTTTTTTTTTTTGGCTTTTTTGCTTTTTCCTTTAATCTTGCCTGCTTTGTTTTTTAATTTTTGTTTTCCTTCAAGCTTTGAGCTTACGGAGTTGCTGCAACGTACACTACCGCGTCTTGAATCCTGTTGGAAAACACTTTCGAGTCCGTTACTGATTCAGCTCTGGCTATAGGGTTTTACGTTTTAAATCAGGTAGGCCATTTCATTTCCGTTCTTGATTTATTGAGTTATTGATTCATTAGTTGACGGTGTTATCTTTTGTTGCTGAAAAAACGGGAGAGGAAAAAAAGGAAAACTTGAAATGCAGCTGTCTGATTTATGGATTTTGGAAATTGATAATGTTTTACTGTTTGAGATTGGTTTATTTAAGTTTAAGTGCGAAGCAAGTTTCAGTGCTTTTGTCGAGATCTCTCGTTAATGAGGTTTTAAAACAAGGAAAACATTTCAAACCGAAACCCTAATCTTCTTTTGGTTTAGGGAAAAATTAATTTGCTTGCACCTTCTTCCGGACTGTGAATAGCAGCATGTGAATTGCTTTTACTTGCAGCAGTTTTTATTTTGGGTTTTTGAAGATTTGGTGTCAATATGTCCGTGCTTAACTTACTATACCATTATGCTCTTACTTCACTCTTCCTAAAGAAAGTGTCCGGTCTTGCTATTTTAGGATCTTAAAAATTCCTAAATATGGATTTGATGGTTTCAGATGTTTAGGCTTTCAGACACTACCTATAAATGGTAAATAAAGTTCTTTGTATTTCGACGGGGATTGGGTTAATTTGTTTTGTTTTGGGCATTGCTTCTCGTTTTGATTTGTTTTCGCTGATTACTAGATGAATATGTGATTTATATGTTTTGGTCTTTAGTGTGTGGTCAATTGTTTTTGGTCTACAAGTGTAAAAATTTCTGATGTTTGCTAACTAATAATATAAAGCTCATTCACTTTTCAAAAAGAACTTTATGTCTTGTGCTTGCTTGTGCCCGATAAGTGTGTAGAATGGGGTGAAAGGTTCTTGTAAAATGTTTTCATTTTAATACTAGTTTGTATTTACGCCGTAGAAAGCTCATCTCAGTTGTTTAGTGGGCTATTGTTTTGGTTTTTGGATGTGGACTAAAGTTGTTGTATGAAGACATTGACATTCCTTATGAAAATTGTGAAATTATTCGTGTTTTCTCATTTTGCTTCATGATCTTTGCCAGTAGAATTAACATTAGAAAAATAGTTTCACATCGTCTTGTATATTTGTGTATCAAAATTATATTTATACAAATTTTATAACAAATAAAAGAAGTGAGCTTAATGGCTTTTCAGCTTTTTGGACAATAAGTAGCGTGTAGGCTGTAGTTTCCTACATCCTGTCCGTGCCCTGAGTTGAGCATTTGGGTGAATTCAATTATAAGCTCCCTTTATCTATACCACATTATTGCGTGAAATGAAGCCTACGTACTGGACAGATTTCACATTTTCTTAATTACCTCTCTAACTTTCACATTATTAATCTTCTTTATCTTACTTGCAAATTAAGTCATAGGAAGATTTCCTCTTGCTAAGTTTTTATTTTTTATGTCTTTGCTAGTCTTTTCGGGATATTTTTAATCAAATACTTCCTAATGTTGGATACTTTGTTGGGATGTTTTGTTAACTGTTATGTTTATGTTTTTTTTTTTCGAATTTCTAATGTTGAATATCATGGAGAATTACTAAAAATTAATGTTGATTTACATTTGCATTTAGTGTGATAGATATGTCAATTTGATTGATCAAATTATTAATTAGAAACTATTGGAAAATGTAATTATGTCTGAAAAATTAGTTTAAAACAGTCGAAACATGCTTTTCAGAAACATTCGGGCGCAAAATTAAAAAAAATTGGTGGTAATATGCATGTAATCTGTTGGTAATACAATGTTCCAGCAAAATTTTTTATTTTTAGTGCATGTAAAGCATCAGTAGGCCACAAAAGTGTCATGGCATCATTCTGCTGGAGCCAATTATGTGCAAGAAGGCAAGAAAATAAAAGCCAGAAAACTTGACTGACACAATACTTGTGTGCTGGGAGAAACTTCTCGACATTTGCATCTGCAGCACTTGCTCCGGGGCAAATGTATAAGCTGATAAAATTCTCCCAATATCTTTTAAGCGCTGGAAATGTCATTTTGTGAGTCACAAAAGGTCTGAGTTGTGTGTTTTTTTTGAGAAGGGGAAAGGTCTGCACTGTTGTAGTCAGTTTTTATGTTTATTTTCATTTTCTTTTTTATCATGATGATACACTGTCTTCGTTTTAGGCGGATTATGGTTTCACTTGTATTTGCATGCAGTTCTATGTTTCTTCATAATTGTTGATGTAAATTTTTTGTTAAGCTGAATTATCATTCATTTCCTTTTTTCCTTAAATTTGTGACTGACATCCTTGATTTTTCTTTTTGTAGTAAAAAATGTCTCAGGCAGAAGATCTA